TTCGGCCCTGTCCCGCACTGTACATGTGCATGATTTCGATCATAACGCGTTGTACAGCACGACCGAGAAAAAATGTTGGTCGTGCGTGTGGCACGAGGGGTGCTTGGAATTTACAGTTGAAAAACTAATTTCCGAGTTGACTCACGGGACGGAAAATTTCTCGCGAAAGTCATTTCGCTTTGCGGAATCATTTCGACACATGTGCAAATCGGTTACTCCGTTTTTCAAACGGTAAAAACCGTTATACAACTGTGAGCTCGCATGAAGACATTTGAGCTACATTGGAGCAACATGCGAGTCTCATGAGTTTACACATTTGAGTCAGTAGGGGCGATTGTTACAAGTGGAATTTGAAGACAGCTTTGTAACAACACGAGGATATAGCCAAATGCTCAAGGAGTTGTGCAACTGTTTTCAGGATACAGCGTGGCGAAATCCTGCGAGCCAGTTAAACAACTGTTTTCTAGTTGCTCCTGCCTGTGCGTAGAATCTATATAAATGTGTGCTTGTTGATAAGAAACGAGGAATGAATGCATTGAGCAGAATGAGGAGTACAAGTAGTAAACCCTAAAGTGTTGTACCCCATATGAACTGCCCCATTACAGCCTACACAGACTAAAGCATATATGCCTGACACACCCCCATAGGCAAAGTGGGGGAGAACAAGGGGTCACAAGACCAGTCAAGCAAAGCAAATCAAGCTCAGGGTGGATCACAACGTCACCACACAGTCCGAGCACAAGAGCAAGGCCACAAGGCCAGTTCACATGCCAGATCATATATATAAAGGTAAACAAGCAAGTGCAGGTATAGAAAGAGTACAGTACAAACAAGATCAAGAAGTGAGTAAGTGAGGCCAAGTAGGCACAAGACCTAGCATAGCACAGAAGCGCCGATGATCACAAGGCGGAAGGGCTTTGGTGAAGATATCACAGTGTTGGCCTCAGAGGCCACGTAGGTGAGGCGGAGCTGACCACGCTGCTGCAGCTCACGAGCAAGGAAGTAGCGAAGAGCAATGTGCTTCGTTCTGTGCTCCAATCTGTGCTCCCGACACAAGGCCAGCATGGCCTTGTTGTCTACGTACTGAACTGGAGGAGAACGAGGCGACTCTCCTAGGTCAGTCAGCAGGTAGGTGAGCCAGCGTAGCTCCTGTGCAGCCATGGCCCTCGCGTAGATCTCAGCCTCACAGCTGGAGGTGAGAACAGAAGACGAGCGGCTAGACCGCCACGAAACAAAGCCGGAGCCAAGGCTGAAGGTGTAACCTTGTGATGACCGCTGTGTCGGCTGGTCGTCAGCCCAAGAAGCGTCTGCGTGACCTGTGAGGACCACTCGACGTCGCCCTCCAAGCACTAGCCCCATGCCCGACGTACTGCACACGTAGCGCAACACCCTCTTCGCTGCAGCCATGTGCTCTGGTCGATGTCTCCCAGGAGCAACATAGCGTGCCAAGATGCTAAGAGGGTATGCAAGGTCAGGTCATGTGCAGGTCATCAGGTACATGAGGCAGCCAACAAGCTCTGGGTACGGGCCACTCGGCTCTACGGACTCATCCGAAGGCAGAGCTGAGAGCGAGTGGCGAGTAGACAGAGGAGTGGCCTGAGGCGAGGAGTACGTGAAGCCGAAGCGCTGAAGGACCTGCTGCACCATGTGTGACTGAGTCAGGGTAATGGTGCGCTGTGCTCTGTCCCGGGTGATCTGCAAGCCAAGGTAGCTGCGCAGTTCACCCAGGTCTGTGCACGTGTGTCTCTTCTGCAGCTCGGACTTCACGTGGGCGAGTCCAGCAGTGTCAGCAGTGGCAAAGACCAAGTCGTCGACGTACACGAGGATGTAGAACGGCGGCAAAGAGGTGTCGGCGCGCAGAAACAGCGACGGGTCGGCTGTAGAAGGAGCAAACCTAAGAGCCGCAAGTGTGGTCCTCAGTGTGTCGTGCCACTCACAGGGCGCCTGGCGGAGACCGTAGACTGGCCGCCTGAGGCTCCACTGGGTACCAGGAGGAAACGACCCAGTGAAGCCAGGTGGGCGGCGCAGCCAGATCTCCTCGTGCAGGCTGCCCTGCAGGAAAGCTGTGCTGAAGTCAAGAGAGTGAAGCTCGTATTCGCGCTGAGCGGCTATGTGCAGCAGCACCCAAAGAGTGGTCATCTTCGGGGTGGGAGAGAAGGTCTGAAAGTAGTCAACTCCCTGCCGCTGACTGAAGCCTCGAGCCACGTAACGCGCCTTGAAGACAGGCGGAGAACCCGGCGGCCGCTTCACCCTGAAAATCCACATGCCACTAACGATGTTCGCCCCAGGTGGGGCAACCTCGTCGACATAGGTGCCTATGGACTTCCAGGAAGCCATCTCTGCGTCCATGGCCGACTGCCACTGAGAGGAGTAGGGACCCTCGATCGCCTCAGCGTACGATCGAGGAGTCGGGATGTCTGGTGCATCCGGGTCTCCCTCAGGGTCAATCAGCGTGGACACGAGATGAGGCAAAGCAGCAGCAAAACACTGGAACTCCTCCTGCCTGTCCTCAAGGACGTCCGTGCTAAGAGCACACCCACCCCCGATGGACGGAGGACAGACAGACTCGGACTCAGCAACAAGACTAGTGGCGTAGTCTAGACGACAGCGAGCAGCGAAGTCGACAAGCTCAGCCACTAAGGCAGACGCAGTAGTGGACTCAAAGGAAGGGTCAGTGACAGCAGTGGCCAGGAGACGCGTGACAGTAGGACTGGCAGCATGAAGAGAGTCAGAGGCCGGGTCGGCAAGAACAGGAAGAGAGGACTCTGGAGGAGATGGCAACGAGACACGTAGAGGAGCAGTGGAAGGACGCAGTGCCATCTGGTGTGTGCCTGGGACCGCACGAGGACGCGGAGCACGACGACTAGCGCGAGCAGCACGAACAGGTGACGCAGGACGAGACGCAGGCTCACGACGCTCAGCAAGACCTCCAGTAGGAGCAGTGTAGGGAGAAGGAGCAGGTAGAGGGGAGGCGGGCTGTAACTGTGACTGCGAGTGGACAGGCTGTGGACACTCTAAGGGAGGAGCAGGACCAGTAGAAGGTGGGAGACCAAGAACCTGCTCAAGGAGCGAAACGAAGTACGGCCGCGGCCGCACAGCGCCTCCAGAACCAGAAGGGACAGCACCAGCACCCCCAGCGGCAGCACCAGCGCCAGCAGCACCTCCAGCTCCAACAGCGCCAACTCCAGCACCCTCAGACGCACCAGTGCCAGCAGAACCACCAGCGCCAACACCCCAAATAGCTATAGCTCCAGCAGCTCCAGCAGCACCAACTCCAGTAGGACCGGCAGCTCCAGTACCGCCAGCAGCTCCAGTAGGACCAACTCCAGCAGCCCCAGCAGCACCCCCAGGCCCAGCAGCTCCAGCACCGCCAGTACGAGCACCTCCGGAACCAGCAGCAACAGTAGTGCCTCCAGCTCCAGCAGCACGGCTCCAGCGCCGGGCAAACCACTCGTGCAGCTCCGGCGGAGAGAATGGCTCCCGCCTCGACGAAGCACCGCCGACGGTCACCCGAGCAGACCCAGCGCCCCCAGGCTCCGCACCTCCAGACTCAGCACCACCAGGTTCAGCACCCCCAGGCTCAGCACCCCCAGGCTCAGCACCCCCAGACTCAACACCCGCAGGCTCAGCACCTCCAGACCCGGCACCCGCAGGCTCAGCACCTCTAGCAGCACCAGAGTCAACAGCTACCTCGACAGGCTCGACTGTGTCTACCTGGGACACACCTGACGGGGCAGGACCCTGAGGGGGGAGGGGGTCTACCGGGGGAGGACCTGGCACAAGGAAGAGCGGCGGCGGGGGAAGGGGCGCAGCGCGGTAGGGGAAGAGACGGTAGTAAGGCATCGACTCGTCAAAGGTGACGTCCTAGGAGGACAGATTACGGCGCGAGGTGGGGTGGTAGAACTGCCACCCAGGCGCGTCAGGGGGGAATCAACGCAGGGAACAGCACGGGGAGACAGCTTGTCCGCAGACAAGTCGCGGACAAACGCCCGAGATCCCCAGACCCGAAACGCAGACGCATCGCCAACCTTCCCCGTCCACCGCAAGGTGGGGGAGGTCTCTGGCAAGGAGACCCCGAGCTGAAGGTTGAGCTGATGCGCCGCGTACTGAACCGCAAACGGCCACAGAAAATGGGGGGCAGCCGCATGGATCATGGACGTACGAGCGACGTTCATGATCATACCAATGCGGCGCTCAGCAATCCCATTTTGCTGTGGAGAGGCCGGAAGCGTGAAGGTCTGGCGGATGCCCTGTGCACGACAGAAGGCTCCCAGACGGGCAGAGGAAAACTCCTCGCCTCTGTCAGAGTGCAGACGCAGAACAGGAAAGTCCGAGCCGAAACTCTCTCTGAGCTGGAGACGAGCTGCGCGGATCCAGTCGATCAACACCGCAGTGACTTCACCCTTGCTGCGCAAGGGGAAGACCGTGGTGTAACGCGAGTAGTCGTCAACCACCAACAGGAAGTAACGCTCGTGCCCCTAGCCAAGGGGGAGACTAGAGACAAGGACACGGGAGGCCATGCCTCGGAGACTAGGCAGAGAGGGATGACCAAGGCGATGGTGCCAAAGGAGAGTCTGGTGAGACAAGAGACGACACGAGCAGGGAGCAGACTCAGGACTAGACCTGGACGCTGCAGCAAACACCTGACTCGACGCAGCGACCTGACCAGGCTCAGCAGCTGGAGGAGACTCAGTTTTGAGGGTGTACAGGCTCGACTCCGGCCGACGGGTGAACGTGGCCAAGTGTCGGCCTGTCCGAGCACACGTGCAGTGGGTCACCCGCTGTCTCGCAAGAGTGAACTGGTCAACCCCCCTATCCTGTAGATCAGCTCCACTCACCAAGTTTGTAGAGAACGAGGGGAGGTAGAGACCTGACAGGGTGCTAGAGGGGGCTGCTGGACACGGTAAGTCAGTGGAGAAGCGAGCAAGGACAGGACCCCCAGAGGGGTCCGCCAGGGAGACCACAACCGGCCGACCAAGCGGCGTAAGTGTGGTGCGGTCTCAAAAGAAGGAGCGGGAAGCACCCAAGTCAAGGGTGAAGGTGTGTAAGGCCTGAGCCGACGTGGTACCTGAGAGGGCAGACTCACCAGCACCTGGTGCAGCAGACGCGCTAGCACCTAGAGCAGCAGCCTCACCAGCACCTAGAGCAGCAGGCTCAATGCCCGGGTCAGGCGGAACACACAGGTAACAGTCACCCTCAACACTATCAGCAACAGCATACATGGCAGCAAGAATAGCATCAAAATCAAGATCAAAGATTGCAACCCCCGCCCTAGACAGCTCTCCCCAGCGAGGGATCTCAGAGGCCTTAGGGAACTGGTGACGCCACGCGTCCGTCAGGCGGCCGAAGCAGCGCTGGGTGGAGTGCGGGCCCCCGCACTGCTCACCAGCGCGGTCGCCGGTGCGGAGAACATAGGTGCAGGGACCCGTACCCCCACCGCGCTGACGCGCAGCGTACCACTCACGAAGCTGCTGAGGGGACAGAGTCTCACGATTGCGCAGCTGCTGCTGGCGCGTACCACCACCGGACCCACTCCTCTACGCAGAGCTGCAACCAGGTCCACTGCTGCCGCCGCCGCCTCCGCCACCTCCGCCGCCCCCGCCGCCTCCACCACCTCCGCCGCCTCCGCTCCCTCCGCCACCGCCGCCGCCTCCTCCGCCTCCACTGCCGCCTCCGACACCTCCACCCCCGCCACCACTCCCACCACCACCCCCACCCCCTCCACTTCCTCCACCACCACCTCCACCGCCCCCGCCGGCCCCTCCAGCGCCCTTGCCCCCCTTGCCCTTTCCGGTGCGGCGTCTCCCGCTCGGGGCAGACGCAGCGCCGACCGACTCGAAACCAACGAGGTCGGCCGCAGCAGTAGAGGCAACAGAGGGCAAGAGGGGGGAGGGGGAACACCCCTAAAAGACGGGGGTGCGAGGGTCACCACGAGAGGCTCCTACAGCGACTATGGTCTTCTCTGCTGCTTGGAGGCTCTTCTCGAGGAGGTCAACGGTGAGAGTGGTGGGGCAAACTAAGAGGAAGTGGTTCCTGACTACACGGAGAGAGTCAGGGAGCCGGGTGACTATGTAGTAGAGGGTGATGTACATGGGGGGGGGGGGTTCTTGGCGCAGAACTCAGCAGGAAGCGCAGCGCGGTAGCGAGTGTCACTAGTGCGGAGGTACGTAATGAGGTCAGCGACTGTGGGGAAGGCAGCAAGGTTAGGGAAGAGGTACGGCAGCATGAGGCGGCTCAGTCCAGCAGTGGCAGGGGAGGAGTAGCGTGCAACTACAGCGTTGTACAAGGTCTTAGCACTCTTGTACTGGCTAAAGTGTGCACGCTCAGTGGTTGGTAAGTGGCGACGCACAGCAAGGCGAGCAGCAGCATCGCGTGTGGCCCACTGTGAGCGAACAGTGCTGTCAGCAGTAGCAGGCGGGGCAGGAGAGGCACCAGAGGTGAGATCGAACAGAGAGAGTGTGTCTGCCCTATCGCACTGGAGAAACAGCTGGAGGTCATCGACCCAGACCTCAAAGTCAACGGCACGGCCCTCAGCATCAAAAGTAAGGACACTGGTGGTAGCCATGACTGCAGTGGCCTAGGAGGGAGTGAGCTCACCAGTCCAAGGAAGGAGGGCCGGGGCGCAGCGGTAGGAACAGCAGCGGCTCGACAGTAGGGCGGCTCGGCGGCTCGGTGGCAGGGCGGCTCGGCTGCTGGGCGGCTCGGCTGCTGGGCGGCTCGGCTGCTGGGCGGCCCGGCGGCTGGGCGGCTCGGCTGCTGGGCGGCTCGGCTGCTGGGCGGCTCGGCGGCTCAGCTGCTGGGCGGCTCGGCTTCTGGGCGGCTCAGCTGCTGGGCGGCTCGGCTGCTCGGCGGCTCGGCTGCTGGGCGGCTCGGCTGGTGGGCGGCTCGGGTGCTGGGAGGCTCGGCTGCTCGGCAGGTGGGCGGCTCGGCTGCTGGGTTGCTCGGCAGCTCGGTCGCTGGGCGGCTGAGCGGCGACAGGGCCGCTAGGGGAGGGCGACAGGGCCGCAGGTGGCGGCGGGGCCGCAGGTGGCGGCTGCGTGGCCGTAGGTGGCGGCGACGGGGCCGCAGGGGGCGGCGACGGGGCCGCAGGTGGCGGCGACGGGGCCGCAGGTGGCGGCGACGGGGCCGCAGGTGGCGGCGACGGGGCCGCAGGTGACGGCGACGGGGCCGCAGGTGGCGGCGACGGGGCCGCAGGTGGCGGCGACGTGGCCGCAGGTGACGGCGACGGGGCCGCAGATGGCGGCGACGGGGCCGTAGGTGGCGGCGACGGGGTCTCAGAGGGGCCGCATAGGGGCCGCAAGGGGCCTAGACGGAGCCACAGAGGGGGCCGCAAGGGGCCAAGACGGGGCCGAAGAGGGGCCGCAAGGGGCCGAAACTGTCAGATTATTATAGCTGATGCATGTTTGTAGGCTATAGTGGGGTAGCACATATGGGGTACAGCTTTCTAGGGTTGTATTTTTACCCAACTCTGACTTAGTCATTCTCATTCCTGTTCATTCTTTTCACATGGTATAGAGCGGGTCCCTCCTAAGGACCGTTTTTTTTTTTAAGGGCCCACCCACGATTTTTTTTCCTGCCCGGAGCGCGCCCTATTCTCCCCGAGGCGCGCTCCCCCTAGTGCTTGTCGCGCTGCCCTTGTGGCGCCCCGAGAGTCGCGCGCGCGACTTCTTTTTTTCGCGCGCGCGGCCCGGGCCCCACGTCGCGCTGGCCTTACGGCCGCGCCGCGCCGCCCTCTCGGCTCTGCCGCGCCGCGCCGCCCTCACGCCGGCCGCGCGGCCTCTTCGTCGCTGCAGCGGGCCCCGTCACCTGACGGCCCCGCCGTCCTACTCCCGGCCCCGCCGCTGCACCCTGCCGGCCCCGCCGCTGCACCCTAACGGCCCCGCCGTCCCCTGTCACGGCCCTGCCGTCCCCTGTCACGGCCCCGCCGCTGCACCCTGACGGCCCCGCCACTGCACCAGTCGGCCCCGCCGCTGCACCCTGACGGCCCCGCCGTCCCCTATCCCGGCCCCGCCGCTGCACCCTGCCGGCCCCGCCGCTGCACCCTGACGGCCCCGCCGTCCCCTGTCACGGCCCCGCCGCTGCACCCTGCCGGCCCCGCCGCTGCGCCCTGACGGCCCCGCCGTCCCCTGTCCCGGCCCCGTCCTGCACCCGAGCCGCCCTGCTGCCGAGCCGCCCGGGAGCCGAGCCGCCCTGCACCCGAGCCGCCCTGTCGCCGAGCAGCCCGGGAGCCGAGCCGCCCTGCACCCGAGCCGCCCTGCCGCCGAGCCGCCCGGGCGCCGAGCCGCCCTGCACCCGAGCCGCCCTGCCGCCGAGCCGCCCGGGAGCCGAGCCGCCCAGCAGCCGGGTCACTGAGTTGCCGAGCCGCCCTTCTGCAGAGTTTCCCGGCCTGCCCTGCCTGGTGAGCACAGTCGCACTGTCACTGCGTGCTCTTCCCCTACTGCTTGCACTGCTTCGCTGTCGTCGTCATGGCTACCCCTAGTGTCCTAGCTTTTGACGCTGAGGGTCGCGCCATTGATTTTGAGGTCTGGTTAGACGACCTGCAGCTGTTCTTACAGTGCGACAGGGCTGACAGCCTTTCTCTCTTTGACCTCACCTCTGGCGCCTCTCCTGCTCCTGCTGCTGATGCTGATCCCACTGTCCGCTCTCAGTGGGCCACTCGCGATGCTGCTGCACGTCTTGCTGTGCGTCGCCACCTCCCTACCTCTGAGCGTGCGCACTTTAGCCAGTACAAGAGTGCTCAGACCTTGTACGACGCTGTAGTTGCGCGCTACTCCTCCCCTGCCACTGCTGCACTAAGCCGTCTCATGCTTCCCTACCTCTTTCCTGACCTCTCTGCCTTTCCCACTGTCGCTGATCTCATTACGCACCTCCGCACTAGTGACACTCGCTACCGCGCCGCCCTTCCTGCTGAGTTCTGCGCTAAGAACCCACCCCCCATGTACATCGCTCTCTACTACGTAGTCGCGCGCCTCCCTGACTCCCTTCGCGTCGTCAGGGACCACTTTCTCGCAGTCTGTCCCACCACCCTCACCGTCGACCTCCTCGAGAAGGCCCTCCTCGCAGCGGAGAAGAGCATAGTCGCTGTAGGTGCTTCTCGTGGTGACCCTCGCACCCCCATCTTTGAGGGGTGCTCTCCTTCCCCCTTGCTGCCCTCTGTTGCCTCTGCTGCTGCTGCCGACCTGCTTGGTCTTGAGTCGGTCGGCGCGGCGTCTGCCCCTAGTGGGAGACGTCGCTCCAGCAAGGGCAAGGGGGGCAAGGGCGCGGGTGGAGCTGGAGGGGGCGGTGGCGGTGGCGGCGGTGGCGGCGGAGGGAGTGGGGGTGGCGGCGGGACTAGTGGCGGGGGTGGTGGTGGTGGTGGTGGCAGCAGCGGCGGAGACGGTGGTGGTGGTGCCAGCGGTGGTGGTGGAGGCAGCGGCGGAGGTGGAGGCGGCGGAGGTGGAGGCGGTGGAGGCGGCAGCGGAGGAGGCAGTGGTGGTGGAGGAGGTGGAGCTGGTCGGGGTAGTACCCAGCAGCGTAGCGGCGGTGGTGGTGGCCAGCGCTCGCAGCGGCAGCAGCAGCAGCGCTCGCGGGACATCCCTTCGCCTCAGCAGCTTCGTGAGTGGTACGCTGGGCGTCAAAGGGGTGGGGGTACTGGTCCCTGCACCTACGTTCTTCGTTCCGGCGACCGCGCGGGTGAGCAGTGTGGGGGTGCCCACGCTGCCCAGCGCTGCTTTGGCCGCCTGACGGACGCTTGGCGTCAGCAGTTCCCTGGGGCTACTGAGATCCCTCGCTGGGATGAGCTTCTTAGGGCTGGTGTAGCGATCTTTGATCTTGATTTTGATGCTATCCTTGCTGCTATGTATGCTGTGACTTATAGTGAGGAGAATGAGGGTTACCGGTGTTTCCAGCCCGACCCGGGCATTGGTACTGCTGCGCTAGGTGCTTGTGAGGCTGCTGCTCTAGGTGCCAGTGCGTCTGCGCTCTCAGGTACTGGTGAGACTGCTCTCTCAGGTACTGCGTCGTCCTCGTCCTCCCTCACTTTCACACTTGACTCCGGGGCTTCTCGCTCCTTCTTTCGAGACCGCACTACCCTTACGCCGCTCGACCGGCCGGTTGCAGTCTCCCTTGCTGACCCCTCTGGGGGTCCTGTCCTGTCTCGCTTCTCCACTGTCCTCCCGTGTGCGGCTGCCCCCTCGGGCACCCTGTCTGGTCTGTACCTTCCCTCGTTCTCTACGAACTTGGTGAGTGGCGCGGACCTGCAGGATGTGGGGGTTCACCAGTTCACTCCTGCGAGTCAGCGGGTGACCCACTGCACGGAGGCACGCACAGGCCGACACCTGGCCACGTTCTCGCGTCAGCCGGGGTCGAGTCTCTACACCCTGACCGTTGAGTCTCCTCCTGTCCCTGCGTCTGGTCAGGTGGCTGCGTCAGGTCAGGTGCTTGCTGCTGCGTCCCGGTCAGGTCCTGAGTCTGCCCCCTGTTCTTGTCGCCTCCTGTCTCATGAGACTCTCCTGTGGCACCACCGTCTTGGCCACCCCTCCTTGCCCCGTCTTCGGAGCATGGCTTCCCGTGTCCTTGTCTCTGGTCTTCCCCAGTCTCTCCCTCCTCTCCCCTCCGGGCCAGGACCTTCCTGTGTCCCCTGTGTCGAGGGTCGCCTCCGGGCTACTCCTCACTCCTCCCACTTCCCCCCGACAGAGGCTCCCCTGCAGACGCTTCACATGGATGTGTGGGGCCCAGCCCCCGTCCGTGGGCAGGGTCATGAGCGCTACTTCCTGTTGGTGGTTGACGACTACTCGCGTTACACCACAGTCCTCCCCTTGCGCAGCAAGGGTGCGGTCACTGAGGTGCTGATCGACTGGATCCGCGAGGCTCGTCTCCAGCTCAGGAAGAGCTTCGGCTCTGACTTCCCTGTTCTGCGTCTGCACTCGGACAGAGGCGGAGAGTTCTCTTCTCGCCTTCTGCGAGACTACTGTCGTGCACGGGGGATCCGCCAGACCTTTACGCTTCCGGACTCACCACAGCAAAATGGGATTGCTGAGCGCCGCATTGGCATGGTCATGGATGTCGCTCGTACGTCCATGATGCATGCGGCTGCCCCCCATTTTCTGTGGCCGTTTGCGGTGAGGTACGCGGCGCATCAGCTCAACCTTCACCCCCGGGTCTCTCGGCCTGCGATGTCCCCAGCCTTGCTGTGGACGGGGAAGGTTGGCGATGCGTCTGTGTTCCGTGTCTGGGGATCTCGGGCGTTTGTCCGCGACTTGTCTGCGGACAAGCTGTCCCCTCGTGCCGCTCCCTGTGTCTTCCTTGGCTTCCCCACTGACGCCCCAGGGTGGCAGTTTTACCACCCCTCCTCTCGTCGTGTTCTGTCCTCCCAGGACGTCACGTTCGACGAGTCAGTCCCCTTCTACCATCTCTTCCCCTACCGCACTCCTTCCCTCCCACCTCCCCCGGACTTCCTTGTGCCGGTTCCCCCCCCGGTAGACCCCCTCCCCCCTCAGGTTCCTGCCCCCTCAGGTGTGTCCCAGGTAGACGCCGTTGACCCGGTCGAGGTTACTCGTGACTCTGGTGCTGCTGCGGGTGCTGAGC